AGGAAGTTTGGACAGATGTTCTCCAGGGAGATGAGCGACGCAGCGAACTTGTTCGCTGGCATGGTGTCAGATCGTGTTGTAATTTCAAAACTGACATCAGAAAGTTAAAACGGTGTCAGTTTATAAATGTAAGTGTGAACGGTTGTAACTTGAAGTGTTGCAAGTCAAGGACTGACTGCCTATAGTACTGTTTTTACTAGAGGATAAGTCTCTGTCCTAACATACCTTTGAAATTATATAGAACATTGAAGTTTGAGCATAACATAGGAGATTTGAGCATTAGTCACATAACAATTTGACAGTAGAGCTTTAATTCAATTTAACTCTGGATTATTTGGTATATGCAGACTTATTTTTAACATAGTTGTTGTTTTCCCTATCCCTTTCCCAGTTGTTATGTTTTCCTTATCCCAAGAATTTAAATGGTTTCACAAAGTTCTGCTTTGTTCTGGGAGAGACATTTCAGTTATAAAGAAATTAAAGTTTACTTCTAAAACCAAGGTGCTTTGAGAAGGATTTTAGGATGAATTAATTCAATTCCAAGTTAGCATGATACCCTTAGAAATGAATCCTACCTCACCTTTGTCAAAGCTGCAGTTTGGACTACCTTGTAGGATAGTCTCTTCCTATAAAGAACTGTATCTTGAATTATTGTTTAGTCCTAAATTGCATGGATCCTAGTCAGATGACATCTCCTGTCTTTTTCTATGCCAAGGGAACATTCATAGAGGGCGTGGAAGTGCAGTTCCATCCCCCTTAAGCTGTGCTGCACATGCAGCTCATCAGCTTCTTAGTGCAGCTCCCTGCTTTGGCATGACTCCAGGACCCCAAGGGTGAATGCCACTGCTGTTTTCCAACCCCTGCTTGCTTGTCGCCAAATTCAGAGAGCTGACTTAAGCATGAGCAGGACAGTCCCCATAGATCTGCTGTTGTATACTGTGGTACTGCAGCAGTTGCAGTTCAAAGTCTTTAGTTTTACAGCCCTGGCTTAAACAGGAAGTTGGTGTCACCAGAGCATTCTCAGGTACGGGAAAATTCTGGTATGCACAGGAAACAGTATGCAATGAATGAGTAAATGTACAGTGTACTAACTATACTGTGATAACTCCGAGGTGGGGGTTTTTTATGTAAGGTAGCTTATTCCACTTTGGAATAAAATCTTGCACTAAGAATGCCCACATGAAGAGTTCCTGTGGAGTATCTTGCATCCTAACTTACAGCACACTGACTTTCTGCGTAAGCAAACCCTTAGACCCCCTGACATCTGTTGACCATCGGAACATGCTGCAAAACATACCTGTCACTTAGGACTTTCCTAGAAGACGGGGGGGTGGGAGGGTGTGTGTGTGTGTAGAAATCTCAAGAAGGCCAGATTTTCAGTCAGGCTCATATGTCTACTTGTGTAATTTGCATATACACTTACTGTTGTTGAGTGAGCTAATTTGTACATGGGTGTGTGTGGGTGTACACACACA